GCTGGAATATTGCTTAAAGCGGCGTAAAACCATACTCACTCACTCACTCACTCACTCATACGCCAATATCGAAACCTTCGAGAGGGGCACGAATGCGGTTGAGCGATCTGGTCATGACAGTCTTGCTCAAACGTTTTTGCCATGGGTTCAAACACGACTTAGGGCAACAGGCAAATTTATCGGGCCGCCTGTTAGGTAATAAATGGTGTTAGTCAGTCTCACTACTTTTCTCACTTTATTTGAGTAGGGCAGAGATTTTGTTAACTTTGTTTGCGTCATATTCCAAGCCCACGTGGTTGTTAGCCAATGCTTTAAATGCCCGTGACTCGTGCATAGTTGGTTGGTTGGTTGTTTAACGCCGCACTCAGCAATATTCCAGCTATATGACGGCGGTCTGTAAATAATCGAGTCTGGACCATACAATCCAGTGATTGATATCATGAGCATCGATCCACGCAATTGGGATCGATGACATGTATTAACCAAGTCAGCGAGCCTGACCACCCGATCCCGTTAGTCGCCTTTTACGGCAAGCATAGTCACCTTTTACGGCAAGCATGGGTTGCTGAAGACCCCGGAATCTTCACGGGTCTCGTGCATGGTAATATGTTTGATAACTACGTACACGTGTGGCTCATCGAGTTGTGGGTGCCTGTATTACCTGCATGTGTCACATTTTCTGTATAAATGGGTGCGACGTACTCTCTGTATTTTCTTTCTCCACGTGGTCGGTGAGAATTGTCGAATGTCCATGTGTAACATTTATAATGGGAATTGTATAAATGGACGCGAAGGGTTCTCTGTGAAGAGCGGCCATTTTGTTTATTACACGTGTTTGGTGTGACTTATCAAAAGTCTATGTGGGACTTTGTGGTCTGTGAATAAACCTATGTGTGCTGAGATTCTTCTTGTGTTTGTTATTTAGTAAGTTAAAGGTGGAAATTTAAGGTGGGCTTGAAACAGAACCACTGCCACGCTATTGTCTGGTATCTTCCAGTGATGGTACAAAGTAAGGCTTACATCAGCCCATCTCTCAGTCAGCCTGAATCCATTGCTCACTTGTTACTGGAAGATCATGCCCTACCCCGGGCTCGGTTAAAACAAGAATTGCAGATAACGCTATCTGTGGTAGATCTAAAGCCCGAAGATGCAATAGCGAAGGCCAAACTAACTCTATTTCTGAGAGACGGTCAGCTACTCGAACGTTAATAAACAGAGCAGCAAAAGAAATTATATCTTTTTTATTTAAATTCCAAAATGAAACTATATCAATACAAAAAAAGAAATCGTATCAATACTTAAACTCATAACAGATGTGTGTACCCTACTCACACACAAAGAGGGACAGGTCAGGCGAAATTGCCTAGGCAGAAGGCGACCTAATAGACACCTAAAGGAACAACAGGATTGACATTTGAATCGTTAACATCATCATGAATGATAGACGCAGCTACGAGCACACTACGACTATTCCTTGAACACAAGCTGCTTTGTGAAACATTATTCGCATCGTTTCTATCTTTAATACGAAGTAAGGTAATGTTACCAGTTTGAAGATCAGTAAGCAATATACGAGTATATGACTGCATGGGACCAAAATCTAAAAAATAAAACATTTTAATTCTATTTTAAGATATTTGTTTCGCTAAATGATTTCTTTTGGTCAACCTCAAGTGTCAACGTCCAATACATGCCCCTTCCCTTCCTTCATACACACAACCAAATATTAGTGCCATCATGATCGAGATACCATGTTAAATGTATGGCGTAGTATCAGTATATTAATCACAACAATCATCTGTGAACCATCAGATATTGAACAATAGAAACAGACATGTTATCGCCAAAAATGTTTTGATACAGATTTCTCTCTGGTTCAGACTCGGATTAAATGCGGAATGAGTCAGGGATTTGCATAGAACAGTCAATCTTCATCTACCAAGGGTGTACAGTCACAGGCCGCAGTACATGGTTGCCCGTTGTCCAGGCAGAGACATTCTGTTCCACATCCATCTGAATGGCACTCGCACACAAGGTCATTAAGCTGCTCTGGGGCAGATGGTGACTGACTGACTGACTGACTGGAGTCCAGGGCCATAGGGAGTTCTTTCATACCCACGTGTAGTTGCATCAGGGAGTGCTGTCATGGGTTCAACTGCTTGCCTCCATACCAGAAGCTGATAAGACCAACGGAGGTGAGGTGAGGTGAAATTTGGTTTAACGTCGCGTCCAAGATTATTGCACTTATATAGCGACGTGCATGTACGTGTGTGTGTTTGTGTGTTTGTGTGGCTGCTTGTACTAGTCCGGACTGATGCCGATTTATAGTGCTAGCTCACTGAGATACCATGATGCAGTTTAACATGAATACCCCACTCAGACACAGTATACTGACTCTGAGCCGACCAGTACTTGTTTTAGCCCATTAATGCCGAGCGCCAGACAGGGTAACAACAAGTACCATCTTTTAACGTCTTTTGGTATGACGCGGTCGGGGATAGAACCCCGGACCTTCCGCTCTCCGTGCGGACGCTCTACCACTAGACCACGGAGGCGGTTCCAACGGAGGTGATACAGACGGAGGGCATCTTCATTTGACGGACGTTTCTTTCCCTGAATATTCTTCTTGCCTGTCTTTTCACATTGCAGAGCGTTTAGTGAAGCAAGGTTTCCTTTGCCATACATGGCTCCCACGAACTTCATGGCTGATTGGGATACTTCTTGTGTGATCAGGCATTCGCTTTCCGTGCCAAAAGAAGAGCTGACAATAGAGTGATAGAAGGATCTTCTGTTGATCCATACTGGGCAGATTATAGATTGTGTGCACAAGGATGTGGTGGGTCAGCTGGTTGTGTTTCCCGTCCCGCCCTTTCCAGAATACCTTTTTGGCTTTGATTGCTTGCCGATGGTGTGCACAAATCGTCTGAGCACCATCTCAAACAAACAAACAAAACTGGGCTGAGGAGTGTCCAGAATCAATAAATAAAAAGATGAGGGTTGCGTAGACCTTGACGTCAGAATCAGAATGGAGATATAAACTACATCAGTGGGTAACCACTGTGAGGAAATGAGACGCAGTCACAGAAATATATTCCATATGCACCAATACACGTCATATCTCTGCATTTGTGTACAGTACATTTTACTTATACTGAAACATACACTAAAGAGTGTGTATCCCCATACTTGTATGAAGTAGTATGTATAGCGATGTGCATGCATGTTTGGTGTGTGGCTGCTTGTACTAGTCCGGAGTAATGCTGATTTATATGGTGTTAGCCCACTGAGATATCATACTGCAGTTTAACCTAAATACCCAACTCAGACACAGTATACTGACTCCGAACCGACCAGTCCGTGTTTTAGACCCTTAATGCCGAGTGCCAGACAGGGTAACAACAAGTACCATCTTTTAACGTCTTTTGGTATGACGTGGCCGTGGCCGTGGATCAAACCACGGACCTTCTATAGGACCTTCAATAGGAAATGACACAAGGTCATGTACAGTAGACCCTGCATGATCCGACACTGCATGATAAACTACCTCTATGTCATGTACAGTAGACGCTGTGTTATCTGACACTGCATGACGCTCTACAACTATGTCATGTACAGTAGACTGTGTGATCCGACACTGCATGACGCTCTACAACTATGTCATGTACAGTAGACTGTGTGATCCGACACTGCATGACGCTCTACAACTATGTCATGTACAGTAGGCTGTGTGATCCGACACTGCATGACGCTCTACAACTATGTCATGTACAGTAGACTGTGTGATCCGACACTGCATGACGCTCTACAACTATGTCATGTACAGTAGGCTGTGTGATCCGACACTGCATGACGCTCTACAACTATGTCATGTACAGTAGACTCTGAGTGATCCAACACTGCATGACACTCTACTACTATGTCATGTACAGTAGGCTGTGTGATCCAACACTGCATGACGCTCTACCTCTGTCATGTACAGTAGACTCTGTGTGATCCACCACTGCATGACACTCTACCTCTGTCATGTACAGTAGACTCTGTGTGATCCGACACTGCATGATGCTCTACAACTGTCATGTACAGTAGACTGTGTGATCCGACACTGCATGACGCTCTACAACTATGTCCTGTACAGTAGACTGTGTGATCCGACACTGCATGACGCTCTACAACTATGTCATGTACAGTAGACTGTGTGATCCGACACTGCATGACGCTCTACAACTATGTCATGTACAGTAGGCTGTGTGATCCGACACTGCATGACGCTCTACAACTATGTCATGTACAGTAGACTGTGTGATCCGACACTGCATGACGCTCTACAACTATGTCATGTACAGTAGGCTGTGTGATCCGACACTGCATGACGCTCTACAACTATGTCATGTACAGTAGACTGTGTGATCCGACACTGCATGACGCTCTACAACTATGTCATGTACAGTAGACTCTGTGTGATCCGACACTGCATGATGCTCTACAACTATGTCATGTACAGTAGACTGTGTGTGATCCGACACTGCATGACGCTCTACAACTATGTCATGTACAGTAGGCTGTGTGATCCGACACTGCATGACGCTCTACCACTATGTCATGTACAGTAGACTGTGTGTGATCCTACACTGCATGACGCTCTACCACTATGTCATGTACAGTAGGCTGTGTGATCCTACACTGCATGACGCTCTACCACTATGTCATGTACAGTAGACTCTGTAGACATAGAGTCTACAGTATTTTGCTACAGCATGTGCTGAAGTCTCAACCCGAACAAGGCCATATTGTCATGGTAGTTTATCTGAGATGATGTTACTTATTTTCCCCATGTTTGTATGATTCTTAGTAATAAAATCATAAAGTATGGCCTCCAGTTCATTCCCCAGTTCCCAAGAGCTCCAGAACATCATTTTCAGCAGATTAACAGAATTCTTAAGGTTATGGATGACTACCAATGACATAAGTTTTGCCATCGTTTGGGTGTAAATAACAACAGATTTTGTAATTCCGTCCTTTCATTTCCATAAAAATACACATATTAAAAATACAGTGGGCTTCTCATTGACAGTGGATCAGTGGATGCATTTCAACAGACACATGAAGATGTACACACACCACTCCATCTGACATCAGACACATGTAGATGCACACACACCACCCCATCTGACATCAGACACAGGAGATGCACACACACCACCCCATCTGACATCAGACACAGGAGATGCACACACCACCCCATCTGACATCAGACACATGTAGATGCACACACACCACCCCATCTGACATCAGACACAGGAGATGCACACACACCGCTCCATCTGACATCAGACACAGGAGATGCACACACCACCCCATCTGACATCAGACACATGTAGATGCACACACACCACTCCATCTGACATCAGACACAGGAGATGCACACACACCACCCCATCTGACATCAGACACAGGAGATGCACACACACCGCTCCATCTGACATCAGACACAGGAGATGCACACACACCAGGTCTATCTGACATCAGACACATGTAGATGCACACACACCACTCCATCTGACATCAGACACAGGAGATGCACACACACCACTCCATCTGACATCAGACACATGTAGATGTACACACACCACTCCATCTGACATCAGACACAGGAGATGCACACACACCACCCCATCTGACATCAGACACAGGAGATGCACACGCACCACTCCATCTGACATCAGACACAGGAGATGCACACACACCACTCCATCTGACATCAGACACAGGAGATGCACACACACCACCCCATCTGACATCAGACACAGGAGATGCACACGCACCACTCCATCTGACATCAGACACAGGAGATGCACACACACCACTCCATCTGACATCAGACACAGGAGATGCACACACACCACTCCATCTGACATCAGACACAGGAGATGCACACACACCACTCCATCTGACATCAGACACAGGAGATGCACACACACCAGGTCTATCTGACATCAGACACATGGACACATCACATCCAGATCATCAGCCTAACATCGAAGGTATCAGTGGTCCTGCCAGTCATCTCTGGCCCAGTCTGGTAGTGGTGTGCTGTATTCCCAGTCAGGGCCCTGGAACATGGACACATCACATCCAGATCATCAGCCTAACATCGAAGGTATCAGTGGTCCTGCCAGTCATCTCTAGCCCAGCCTGGTAGTGGTGTGCTGTATTCCCAGTCAGGGCCCTGGAACATGGACAACATGGAACATTGAGTCAGAACTGCTAGTTTCCTTGGTTTCCTGTCCCATGAAACAAAAGATTGCTGGCTACTTCAAAATGGTGTTTTAGAGCATTCGATTTATCCTTGCATCATGTCAGTTGAAGCACTGACTTGTAGTTTATCTGCACTTCCCAAAATAGAAATCAGTAACATCATCCAGAAAATAAAAGCTACACATATCCATCACTTTAGAAGTCTTCTCTTTCTACCTTCAACCAAAACCAAGGGATGAACATCTACCCAAAGCAAGGGAGTTAACTAACTATAAAAGTTGGAATTTCTGGGTGGCCAAACAAGTCTAAGCATAGTCCAATCAAAATCACGTTGCGGAATTGTAATCCTGTTTGTAAACAACATGTCAACTTTTGGTTGATTTCAGGACTTACAAATGATGTGTACCATCAACTGGGCGTCAACAGATATATTCCAAATCTTTCATGTTTTAATCAACTTGCACAAATGATCTGATGCACTTGGTGAGGTAAGACCCGTTCTATCACAAAATAGATCACAAATTCAATCAGATATCCTGACTGGACCCTGCCATTAAAGGGACATAACTGGTAATTGCCACTGATGGTGCTACAATCAAGCCACAAAGTTTCAGCCAAAGATTGAAATTGGACTTTTATGGTTCATTAACTCTAGGGTAGGTTGGTTGGTTGGTTTGTTATATATGACGGCGGTCTGTTAATAATTGAGTCTGGACCAGACAATCCAGTGATTGAATCATGAGCATCGATCCACACAATTGGAATCTAAGACATGCATCAACCAAGTCAGCGAGCCTTACCAGACGATCCCGTAAGTCAACAAGTAAGTCAACAAGCATAGTCGCCTTTTACGGCAAGCATGGGTTGCTGAAGATCTATTCTACACCGGATTCTTGGGATGGGTGGCAATGTCATAGCAATATGTTTTCCATTGAAAAGAGATACCGCCATGTTGTGTTTGGTAGGATTCCTAAGAGAGACCACTTACAGAGTACTTGAGAGCATGCAGGTACATGACCAGCTCCTCCTTCCTGGGGTCAACGTACTTCAGCCGACAACTAGAACAACTTGCATCTGGGATCCACTTCTCCCTGTCAAAGGGTGGGATGTCAGGACAAGGGTTCTCATCAGTTCTTGGTCTCTTGACTGGTGGTTCCTCACCGAGTCCACTCACAGCCTGTCTCTCATCAGTCTGATTACTGGCTGCATCTCCTATACCACTACAACCTGCCCCTTCTGTACCTGACTTGCCGGTGTCACTACAGTCGACCGTCCCTCCTTCAAGTTTTGCCGCTTCAGCTAATTCCTTTAGTCTCTCGTCAAAAAGAGGGTTTGCACCATCTGTCCAGTGGCCTATGTTGTGTAGCTCCAGCATTCTATCAGATACCTGAAGATATTCACAAACACTTGAGCAAGACATATTATGACTTCTTGCTGACATGTCACGATGATGATTAGTTGTTCTTTCATTGTGGTATTGCATTAGAACTATCTGCAAGACAGGAGATGTGATTCGTATTGGTTTCCCCCAATAGCAAGACTCGTGATCATGGTATGTGCTGACAGACCATGTATCAAAATCAGGGCTAATCTTGGATTCAAACAAAACCAGTCGATTCTCGGAGCTAATGGACGCAACTGAGAACAGCTCCTACCTCATGATATGTTGGCTCCATCACCCCTCCCTTGTACTTGTTAGAGCACCAGGCCTCACTGTTGTAGGGACCTCCCTATACCTACCTCTTGATATGTTGGCTCCATCAACCCTCCCTTGTACTTGTATGGGCCCTAGACCTCGCTGTTGTAGGGACCTCCCTATACCTACCTCCTGATCTGTTCGCTCCATCACCCCTCCCTTGTACTTGTTAGGGCCCTAGACCTTGCTGTTGTAGGGACCTCCCCATACCTACCTCCTGGTATGTTCGCTCCATCACCCCTCCAATGTTCTTGTTCGGGCCCAAGGCCTTGCTGTTGTCAGAACCTCTCTCAACCTACCTCCTGATCTGTTCGCTCCATCACCCCTCCCTTGTTCTTGTTCGGGCCCCAGGCCTCGCTGTTGTAGAATGGATCATTTATGATAGGATGACCTGGAGATGAGAACAGAGGAAACATAAAAGAGTTTTCCCAACTCATACAAATCAAAAGTCTTCAACTGAATACATAAGGAATCAATGTGGCTTTTGGAAGTAAGGTTGCATTCTTTGTGTGAGTAGGATCAAACACCTGTTGTATCACAGCGCGTCAGAATAGCCCAAACTGATGAAGGTCTTAGATGTTTACCATCTTGATGAATCCCATGATTACAGATAAGGTGCTGACAAAACATGGATCGATATCCCAGCAACTCTGGAGGTGAGGTGAGGTGAGGTGAGGTGAGGTGAGGTGAGGTGAGGTGAGGTGAGGTGAAATTGGGCTTAACGTCGCGTCCAAGATTATTGCACTTATATAGCAACGTGCATGCACGTGTATGTGTATGTGTGTGTGTGTGTGTGTGGCTGCTTGTACTAGTCCCGACTGATGCCGATTTATAGTGCTAGCACACTGAGATACCATGCCGCAGTTTAACATGAATACCCCACTCAGACACAGTATACTGACTCCGAGCCGACCAGTCCTTGTTTTAGCCCCTTAATGCCGAGCGCCAGACAGGGTAACAACAAGTTCCATCTTTTAACGTCTTTTGGTATGACGCGGCTGGGGATCGAACCCCAGACCTTCCGCTCTCCGGGCGGACGCTCTACCATTAGACCATGGAGGCGGTCCTAGCAACTCTGGAACTTAAAGGGGAAGTGTACACTCAAAAATCACTTTCTTTCTTTTTCTAAACAAAACGCAATTTTAGAATTAGTTAGTATCTGTGTTTGAAAATATACACTCATTTTTTTCACAGTGAAAGTTGGAAGCTCACAATAGTGTTAAAATGATATGCCGTTATGAGGCCTTCGTTTTACGAGCGAAATAGGCCTGAGTTATCCCCCTTAGATTATGACGTAATTGGTGCCAATTCAACTGGGTCCCTGTCTATTCTCAACGCAAAAGATATCAAGGACCAGTTTGCGGTAAAACAACATGGTCTACGACACACTCCGGCGCAGTGGTGACTCAGCATAACACAATTCTGGCTGGCATCTGAGACGCTAGAATCACAAAACTGTACCTACACCACGTGAAGCGGCTCTAACAAAGCATGATGACGTCATAATGTTTATCAATTGGCACCAATGACGTCATATTGCAAGGGGCATAAGCCATGGTGTTTTTGTTATGGAAATAGAACACTTGGTAAATGTGAAAAATATAAATCGTTTTAATGCAAAAAATATGTTAATTAAATATGATGTTTTTATATTTTTGTCTATGACACTTCTTTGTTAACACTTTTAATGTGGAAAAAGTACAAGAAAAATTGGTTCATTTCCGTGTGAACTTGCCCTTTAACCAACTTAGGGTCCTATCTACTAAGCTAAGGAGGAAGTCTGCACGTTGAATTGATGCCTCTAGACCACTGGGCCTTCCTTGTCCATGAGTTTAACGTGCTGCACTGTCTGCATGTGTCATGTGACCTACCTTCGAACTGTAGGTGTACTCTGATCTGATGGGTCCGCCCAGTGTGAGGCTGACCTGGAACATTCAGTTGACACACTCATAACATACTAATGTTTGTTTGTTTGTTGTTTAACACCACACTCAGCAATATTCCAGCTATATGATGGCCGTCTGTAAATAATCGAGTGTGGACCAGACATTCCAGTGATTGACATCATGAGCAATGATCCACGCAATTAGGATATGATGACATGATCAACCAAGTCAGCGAGTCTGACCACCTGATTTGATAGTTGCTTCTTACGAAAAGCATTGTCGCCTTTTACGGAAAGCATGGGTTACTGAAGACCCATTCTAACCAGAAACTTCTATCCAGAGTATGCATCCAAGCTGCCTGTGAGTCAGTACGTAACCTAGTAGGATAACACTCACATTACCATCTCATCCTACTGGGTACCCATTCCCTGCTCCACTCTGTCTCACTCAACAACCAGAGAAACAATACTCCTTACTCTTTACTGTTGCAGAGCAAGCCATCACTTTCTATGCTGAAGAAAACAGTTGTGGGTACATAAGTTATCCGATTAATGGATTTGAATGACGAAGTGAATACTGTTAAATGTTGCAATCTGTATTATTCGAGCTGGACCAGGGCTGCCTGACTATAAACACATATGGGCCAGCGCTTGCTACTACATCCCTTGTGAATGTGATCCAAGGACAACGTATCAACCTAGTCAACAGAGATGGACAACCTTATGAAATTCTTCCAACAAGAGTGAGTTTTACAACGCTTTTAGCAATATTCCAGCAATATCACGGCAGGGGACACCAGAAATGGGCTTCACACATTGTACCCATGTGGGGAATCGAACCTGGGTCTTTGGCATGATGAGCGAATGCTTTAACCACTAGGCTACCCGACTGCCCTCTTACCACAAGAAGCAGAGTGCTGGGTGCCAATTCCACCCTGAGTGCCCCAGAGTTCTATACGTACATCTGACCACACTGGATGTGCCATTGTAACTGAGCCTCTCAAATGTTGTGTGACACGCCTTGCCATCGGGTCTGACTCGGAACAGCCCCAGCTTCTGGGAGATGACACCGATTGGCTCTCGGCACTCAATCTTCCCACTGAAACCAACCAATCAGAAGTAGGAACTTAAGACAAAACTACTATCAATATTTCCTTTGAACATGTTGAATGTTGTGATAAAACTGATACAAAAAGAAAGTCAAGGAACCCTACGGGTCACATCACCTTATAATGTTAAATACAGAACAAGGATGAAATACTAGTACTCATATCCCCTGTCAATGGCATGGTCAATGGAGTGTAGCGCCTGATTGGAAAAGCCGTCCCTGGCTAGACTGATATCAGTGTACAATTTGATCAAGAAATATTGAATGGTCTTTGAGTTCAGCTCCCATAAGAACTGTGGCAACTCTACCCTCATTTAAACCTAAGTCTACTTTGTTTTCATGGAAAACTCCTAAACAGGAAAAGGCACCAGTTCATGGCTAGACTGATATCTGTGCAAAGTTTGAGAATGTTCCAGAAACAACACGTTATTGACATGAGGTCGGTCGGACAGGGTCCATTCCTATATCCCCTCCCACAGGTGGGAAATAATAGGGAGAACCCAGAGTATCATCAGCAGAAAAACCTAAGGCCAGGCTTTTTTTATTTTTAGGATTACAGATTTTTCAGCTCAAAGTCCAGGGTTGGAGGAGGGAAAAAAAAAAGGCAGATGCATTTTTTTTAATGCAGAATGCCTCTGGCATACTATATGAACATATTCTGTGTTCAAAAGACCACCATTTGTGATGATAAAGCCCCTTGTAACAATAAAAATTCTATCACTTACCACACAGACAATTGTCAAGGGAGGCTATTCATGTTCGGCTTCGAGATCAACAAAGATTGATTATGTACCTCTTTACTAGTTTACAATGGTTAATTCATGTGTTTCTTATTAAAAGGTGATGATAACAAATAAAATAACTGAGTACGTCGCTATCGGCGGGGAAAAAAATAAATGGAAATCTGATTATTTTTTTTACATTTTCTCAAAAACTAGAGTTGGCGGGTCCGTAATCTGAAAAATATAAAACGCCTGGCCTACAGGTCCCTGGGACCTTAATTAAAAACACTGGCAATTGATAATGAAGGTGATACATAGTGAGAAATGAAGCCTAGCGGCAGGTATTTTCATACCGACATAATATATAGATGTATAGATTATTAAGCATGAACACAGAGATAATGAACATGTAATAGACGGGGCATGAAACCCTCTGAAACCTAAACATTTACATAAGTAATGAGTCTCACATACGGCTATATTCTTTATGAAAAAATCTGCTTTGGAAGCAGTTTTGGAAGTATTTAAGAAAATACTGAACAAGCATTAATCAGAAAAGTTCTGATGGATGGAAGGAAGGAAGGAAGGAAGGAAGGTAAATGACGGAAACGTGACATAAACTTCTGTTTCAGTATTTAATGGGACATTTTTAAGATATAACACTGAATCACCTACTCAGGAAACTTGCCAACCACTCGACAGACATATTCCTTCTGTACTTCTCTCTTCAATACCTGGTCCTCCAACACCTTCGTCTTCTGCGTTGTCTTCCCCATTATGAGCACACCAGAGGTCAGTCTGTCCAGCCGGTAGATGTCTGCAACACATATGGTCAAGTGATTGAGGTCAGTCTGTCCAGCTAGTAGATGTCTGCAACACACACAGTTAATTGCGTGAGGTCAGTGTGTCAAGCCGGTAGATGTCTGCAACATACACTGTCAATGATTGAGGTCAGTCTGTCCAGCTAGCAGATGTCTGCAACACACACAGTCAAGTGATTGAGGTCAGTCTGTCCAGCTAGTAGATGTCTGCAACACATATGGTCAAGTGATTGAGGTCAGTCTGTCCAGCTAGTAGATGTCTGCAACACACACGATCAAGTCTTTGAGGTCAGTCTGTCCAGCTGGTAGATGTCTGCAACACACATGATCAAGTGATTGAGGCCAGTCTGTCCAGCTGGTAGATGTCTGCAACATACACTGTCAATGATTGAGGTCAGTCTGTCCAGCCGGTAGATGTCTGCAACACACATGATCAAGTCATTGAGGTCAGTCTGTCCAGCCGGTAGATGTCTGCAACACACACGATCAAGTGATTAAAGGTCAGTCTGTCCAGCTGGTAGATGTCTGCAACACACACGATCAAGTCATTGAGGCCAGTCTGTCCAGCTAGTAGATGTCTGCAACATACACTGTCAATGTTGAGGTCAGTCTGTCCAGCTGGTAGAAGTCTGCAACACACATGATCAAGTGATTGAGGTCAGTCTGTCCAGCCGCTAGATGTCTGCAACACATGTGGTCAAGTGCTTGAGGTCAGCCCTGATATACTCACTCCTCAAGTTAGAGCAGCCCAGGTGATTTCCCTGATATACTCACTCCTCAAGTTAGAGCACTCTAGCTGTTTGCCTTGATATACTCACTCCTCAAGTTAGAGCACCCCAGCTGCTGGCCCAGGATAAAGACGACCGAGTTGTGTCTGTACTTGCCACAAGGGTGGCATGGAATGGAGGACGGCTTGTTTATGACGATCAAGTCATCATTTTCTGCAATTACCTCGATAGGACAGCCCACAACAGGGTTCTCGTGTCTGAAGGAGGAGCATCAACATGTGAGACAACATAGAAACCAGGATTTTCATTTGTCTACTGAGTCAACTTTGAGCAGGTAAGAAACACTGTTGATCTGAACCAATAATACCATTTATCATATAATGGGTAGGTTTCTCGGCAGGATAAAGCCAACGGATAAAAACGATATCCGTTGGGGTCATATGCGGATAGAGATGCAAATATCAAAGGTCAAGTAGGGACTATTTTCACTGTTTATAAACAAACATGGCGTCGCCCTCGTCATTCGGCGATCGAGTCAGAATTAACCATCGGGAATCTGGATAAACTACAGGGATAATTGCTATCATTATCGAAAGAACAGTCTAATATACAGAAAATCAGTGTCTAACTGTAATGTAAGGCATTTTATAAGTTTTGGAAACTTTGTAGATATAAATTTTGCGAAAAATTTTGCGATGGCACATCTGTGCTTGTAGACCTCTGCGGCTTGAAACCTTCTCCTCAAATCAAAATAGTTGGATTTGGCCAAAATATGTTTGAATTGTTACCTTGTTTCGTTTTGTCGCTTTGTGTACATCTGACTACACTTCTTAACTATGACAGGACAGACCGACTGTCAACATCGTCTGACCGTGGCCGTGACGTCTCATAGACTAGGGTTAGAGTAGCTTCCCTTTGACAAAGGGCAGTTACTCTAGCGGACAGACCGATGGATTGCCGCGAAAGGCAATTAAAAACAATAGTTGTTTTGCTTCGCCACTGTATAAGAACAGATTTCAGTTGGAACTATATTGGCTACTGTCACTGTCCGACTGACACATCACTTACCCTGTGACGTTATAAATATTAATGCGCGCATTCAAGGAAAACTCGCAATGTTTCGGTAATGTTTGTGAAAGAGGGAAAGCGATTTTGAAGCACAGAATTAAAGAATGACATTATATGATAAAGAGGTTATCACACTTGTGTGTTTGGGGATGGTAAATATCCTGTATTAGGAATAAACACCATGTATTTAGCTCGCCAAGGCTCGCTAAATACAATGTTTATTCCTAATGCAGGATATTTACCATCCCCAAACACACTCGCGTGATAACCTCTATATACAGTGTCTGGATACTACCATATACAGTGCCTTGATACTACCATATACCAAGCTACCATCTACAGAGCCTGGATACTACCATCTTCAGAGCCTGGATACTACCTTATACAGAGCCTGGATACTACCATTTACAGAGCCTGGATACTACCATATACAGAGCCTGGATACTACCATATACTGAGCCTGGATACTACCATATACAGAGTCTGGCTACTATAATATGTGAGTTTTGATGACTAGGTATAGAACGTACCTGTGGACCTTATGTGCTATTAGTTCACTGTCTCGTAGAATGTGATCCCCTTGTACCTTTTTTCCATTGACAGTCAGGTTACCACTGCTAATTGCATTGATCTGCACAAGTGAAACATGAGACATGTGAAACAAATTTACCAACATCAGAAGCTTAGTGAAATATTAACTTTACTGATAATCAAATATCGATCTACATTTGTGGAGACCACATCTCATCCAGGAGAAAAAGTAAATACAGATTGCACCAGATTGCAGTGGTGCATGAGCCATTATTTAGGTAGTAACCATGGTGATACTGGAATGTGTTTGGGTGTAATGTTTTATTGAAGCTGGAAACTTTTTTGGACATCTCCACACCAGGGTCGAAACGGGAAGGAAGAAATGCATAGTGTGAGATAGAATAAGTTTAAAAATGAACTTCTGCAGACCCGCAGTTAATAAATCTATTGCTAAATATCAACTAGGATTACTCACTAAATGTTTAATATTGAATTTGATGAAATTTTTTTTTCTTTTCTTAGCCATGGTATTTTTTATAAACGTAAATGTTTCTTTGGCAGATCTATTTAGTATCGATATTCTTTATTTGTATTGATACAGTATCAACATTAAAGAAGAACATATACATTGACATTGCGATATACGACGTCATCCAAATGTAGTGATTTCCCAGCATTACCTGCTGGCTAGGTAGACTCACATAATCCTCTTCTGAATAAGCCTTGAACTCTGACTTGATGACATCCAGGATTGACCTACCCAGCCAGCGCTGCTTCACGTACGAGGTGAACGTGTAATAGTAGGGGTATACTTTCCTCAAACCTATAAACACACAGGAAACAACGTAAACCACAAGCACACTTGCAAGAAACGGATATTTTTCACAATAAACTGATGACAGTTTTCACAACAGTCTGACTAAAACACGTAAAGTAAATTTCCTGCAGGCCATAAGGACCCATACAAATTTGAAATGACGGGCCCGACACGAGATCTACCTGCCACGGGCCTATGGGCAGCGCTGACCGTATTTGACGTAATAAGCGCCCCGCTCTAATAAGCGCCCACGGCGATATTTGCTAATATATTGGCTAGTGAACAATCTCAATTAGCACCCCTTCCGATTGATCAATGTACACAAGACATTTATTCGTGTATAATACGCACTCGTGTGTTATATGCACCCTTAATCATGTTAATTATGGGCAATTAAATCCTGGAAAAATATATATGTCGTATATAAATATTTCAGGCTGTCAGCATAAACCACGAAATTTATGAACTTTTTTCGCCAAAATAATATTCCAATATGAGCCCCCTATTTCTAATTTTGAGAGCACCCTGGGTGCTTATTACGTCGAATACGGTATTTCACTTTGCGCAAGGTAGCATACCTTTCAAACTGATAACTCAAACATAAACATGATTAGAGAACAGTTGGCAGCCTACCTGCATTGTTTTATATTTTACCATAGGAACAATGGTTTCTGTTCAGGCATAATTCTTGTGTGACCAATAGTATGGGTTTATTTTAAGTGCTTCTTCAAAATCTAATGAACAGTACATAATGTAATCAGCATCCCTTCCAAAATATTCTGTCACATTGCCAAACATTCAAATGTTATCCTTGCTTCTACTTTTCAGAATCACGATGTGACATGATAGTACATGACATTCCACACCATGACCATGATGACAGAATAACAACTGTTAATATTAGTAGTATTGGGCCTTGTCAAAATAAGACAATATGTCTGTGTATGAAACACTTGTGTCCATGCAAGATGTACCATTCTCGTAGTAGTAGTCAGTTTCTTCATACAGATCGGCTGCAAACCCTGGTTCGGGGGCATTAGGCTTTTTAGACTTTGGCTTCTTCTTATCATGTTTCTTCCATCTCTCCATTCTTTCAAACTGAAAAAAAAGACTGACATGAGTAAGCTATGCTTAACGATGAGTCACAATGGGATCCTAGAGTGAAGGCATGACCCTACATCACAGCCGACAACACCACCTTCATAAATCCTATTCAGACTGTGGTGGCAATTACCCTAGCATTTTTCTAAAAAATATTAGAAATATTTCCTGCAGGTTTGTGACTGAAAAGTTGATATGGCTGTACTCCCAGATAATTTCCCTTATATACACATAATTGTCATAGTTTTATTACCATAACTTGAGGTAATAACAGAGCAGGAACCCGTTCACTTCATGTTTTGACGGTAGCGAGCTGCAATGTTGATATGGTGTGTGCATGTGCTAGATTCCTTTTGTCTGTTTCTGCATGGGTTTTCTACAAGCTGTATGTTGTTCTTTCTGTTAGCAGAAAACACGCTAAGTTATATTGTGATCAGTACTTATTGAGTGACCAGTCGTAACAGTACTGTATAACAATGTTAGCTTGGTATTACCTGAAAACCCAGACATCCTCAAATATGTTTAACAAAATTCACTGAACTTTGAGTATCTTTTTCAAAATTCCCAGAAGAACATAGTTTAACAGTTAGTTCAGATACTGTGAGAGGAATTACCTGGACCCCCACTTAACAGATCTTTATCTTTTTTGCCTTTGCATGATCATTTAACCTTAGGCAAGAACTAGACTAGGGATCAGGGTAATTACCCAGCCAACACATAACATTTTCAAAACGTTTTCAAAAGGTTTCATGGTAGTTTTTCAAAAACATTTTCGTCAAAACATTTTATCAACATTTTAGAAATGTTTTACAACTATTCAAAATGTTATTGAACTGTTTTCAAAATGTTATTCAAGAACATCATGCTAAAACATAGGCGAAACTATTTCAAAACATGTTATTACAATGTTTTCAACATGTTGCAGAAACATTTTGCTAGAACATATTTAATGAAATGTTATCATCATGTTTTAAATACATTGTGTAAACATATGTAAAATCATCCGAATAAGGTGTAAATGTTTTATGATTATTCAAAATGTAATTGAAATGTTTTTAAAATGTTTTTCAAGAAGATCATGCCATAACATAGGCGAAACTATTTCACAACATGTTATTACAATGTTTTCAACACGTTGCAGAAATGGTATGCCAGAAACTATTTCATGAAATGTTATTGAAAGGATTTTTAAATGTTATTCAAGAACATCATGCTGTAACATAGACGATACTGTTTCATAACATGTTATTGCAATGTTTTCAACACAATGCAGAAATGTTATGCAAGAACATATTTTCACGAAATGTTATTACCATGTATTGAATACGTAAATTCCTGAAACAACTACACCAGACACCAACCTACACAATACGACATTTCTGGAACATTTCATAAAATGTTTTAGGGATGTTTGTATAACATGTTTGTGTTTGCTGGGCACCTACACAGACAATTCCCCACTGCCCATTACCCCATGAGTAACAGGACAATTCCCCACACCCAACCATAACTGAGAACACTTAAGACAATTGCAGACTTAGAGTGCAGATGAAACCATGTTCTTTTTCCATGTAACGTTTTTTTTCTCAGCACTTTATCAAAGAAGTATTTCAATGATGGGCTTGTGTCTCTTATAATTACTTTGATGAAATTTGAAATTAATGAACATTACGTACAGATTACATACAGGTCTCAGCAACTTGTTGTTTTACATTTTGTGTGCATGGACTTGAATGAGATGAAGGGAGCATGCAAAATTTTCAATAGTTTCTAACTAGCCAAGGAAATTTGAAATAAATCAAATCACATCACATTAGGGATATATGTGACAGATCTCACCATGCTGACTGGGTCGAAATCGAAAGTGAACAGACTTATAACCTGGGGAACCTTTGCATTGAATTGATTGAAAGGACTGAAGAAATTGGAGAGTGAGAGAGAGTGCCAAAACGCATTATCAATACAGTACACCACTTAACCATGTTAACAGATCTTTATTTTTTTTGCCTTTGCATGATCATTTAACCTTAGGCAAGAAAATATAGTTGTATAGACTAGGGATCAGGGTAATTACCCAGCCAACACATAACATTTTCAATACATCATATGGTCACTTGTCTCTTGTTATTTAGCTACCTATTAATATTAGCAATGATTAAATGTGGCAAAACGTCCATGCGAGGGAATTGTCTGTGGGGTTTTGTCCAAGCAGGGAATTGTCTGCATGGGAAAATGTCCTACACTCCTTTGACCTGAGACCTCCTCCGTGGCCTACTGGTAGAGCATCCACCCAGAGAGTGGAGAATAAAAGGTTTGATCCCCAGCCCTGTCACACCAAAAGACGTTATGAAAATGGTACATCGTTGTTGGCATTAAGGGGCTAAAACAATGAGTGGTCGGGTCGGGTCGGAGTCAGTATGCTGTCTGAGTGGGGTACTCATGTTAAACTGTGGCATGGTATCTCAGTGGGCTAGCACTATATAATCGGCATTAGTCCTGACTAGTACAAGCTGTCATACACAACCACATCAAACATGCATGCACATCGCTATATAAATGCAAATAATCTTGGACCGTGACGTTGAACCCCATTTCACCTCACCTGTTGAATGGCACCAATTAAAGACAAGGTTTTCGTCAATAAAGATCCTGTTTATAGCTACTTTCTTTGGGTTATAGCGAAAACGGCACCTCTGCAAAACGTCACCGGGAGACAACGGCACCGATTGGCGAAAACGGCACCTCGACTCAAGCGAAAACGGCTACCATTGCCTGGCGAAAACGGAACCTTATTTTTTTACACCTTGGTCAAATAAATGATAATAAACTTACATAAAACAAGTAAGAAATTAGCACCCTTCTCCAATTTACTCGCCGACTCTGATTGGTAGGCGCAGTTAACTTATTGTGAAAACACTATACGCGTTGAAGTTTTAAGTACTTTTACTCAATTTAAGCTGAAACTGTATTTAAGAGGCCAAACAGCGTGCTGTCAGATCACAATTATTCACAATGGCCTTTAGATGTGTTGTATGCGAGAAGAATGTCAGAAAAAATCAACATGCTGTATCCTGTGAACAGTGGACCCATCTAGTATGTGGAACCGGACTTTCTGTGGCCCGTAAAAACCAGGACCAGGACAGTGTTGACAGCAATTCAATTCCGAGTTGAGGTATTAATATTGTTGTTATAACTGATTGGTGTAATTGTTCTCGGTAATTTACAATAAGCTGTCAATTATGCGGTGCCGTTTTCGCCAGAGAAATCGGTGACGTTTTGCTGAGGTGCCGTTTTAGCCTGCACCCCTTTCTTTGACTCACAGCTGGTAGTACCCGTCGTGATGCCTAATTTATCATGATTATTGACAATTATCATTGCCAGTATGATGAAAAGAAATTATCTGATCAAGCGTGACAGGACTTCAAAAGATGAAACAGCGTCGTGTCCGCATGCAAGCATGTCAATTTTGCATGTTTACCTTCTTCAATCCTCTTTTCGACAGTGTCGCTTTGTATTCTTCAAGCGAGTGGTTCGGGTCTTGGAATTTATACTTTTTATTCTTATCTCGACCGTGATGGTGTCGGTGACCATCTCGCTCTGAAGCGGAATGGCCCCCTGTGTCCCCGGCATTCATTTCTTGTTTCCTATTCGACTCCTGTGTTAATCCTCTGGCGCCGGATAGTCTTAGGACACCCGTTCTTTGAACGTTGTACAAACTGTTGCCTATTTTCGTAAAACTAAAAGTTGATAGCAAATGTGGACCAACTATCGAGAAGAGACCTCTCAGCCTCATGCATGAACTCTGGAAGTGAGTTATAGGAACATGCGTTTTTTCTTTTTAATCGGGAAAGTTGTCATGACTGAAATAAGAAACACAACCATTCACACACGGTTCCGTATGGAAGTCGCCATCTTTGAATAAGGGAGGTAACCGCCTTTTGTCGCATTATTATCTCCCTTTGCAATTTAAGCGATGTTTCTTTGTGGCAAAAGGACAAGGTAATGATAACCTTCTGGCCCACGGGATCTGCATAATTTAAGGAAAGGACAAAACATTTAGAAAATATATCATCAAAAAATTATCAGATGTGTTCATATGAATGTTAATGTGATTTTGTTCATTTCAACCTCTGCATGTGAACGTGTGACAACAGTAATTGGTAATGCTAAAATATGTCCAAAGAATGTTTTAGGGATTTTGTGGAAGACTTTTACTCTAGTGTCAATGCAAATATCAGCAAGTCTTTGACAAAAGATTATTTTCTTTGGAGTCGTAGATACAATTAGTACAAACATATACCAGAAGTAAAAGATTCTTTTTGGGTGAGAGACTTGTTCACATTTAGATTGGGGCGGTGGGGTAGCCTAGTGGTTAAAGCATCTGCTCGTCACGCCGAAGACCGGGGTTCGATTCCTCACATGGGTACAATATGTGAAGCCCATTTCTGGTGTCCCACGCCTTGATATTGCTGGAATATGGCTAAAAGTGGCATAAAAAAAACCTCACTCACTCGTATTTAGATTGTCTGTTGAACATGCTGAAGTTCAAAATAAGCCTTTATAGCTCAGTTTTATTTTATCATTTAAGAAGTCCAACCTTGCGAGGGTTACAAAGAAATAAGGCAGACTGTCAGCCAATAGAACATATCTAATAACTTTCATAACAATGTGCCCATGTTATCCACAATGTAAAGAGACCCTCATCCTTCCTGCCCCATTTATTTGAAATATTAATGTCAGGAAACAATTAGCTTTGATTGCATAGATGGCTGTATGTGGTAGCACACATACAAGGTGTATCATTTCACAAAGTATGTGTACAGCTTGTAACGGCAAGACCACTTTTCTTCATGTTTTCCTGGTGAAATTTTTCTGAACACTGAAAAAACCTTAAAAAATAATCTAAATTGTTTCATTAAATTGCTAAATTGTACCTTAACATTAGCTTCTTCTTTGAATCCATGGAGCTCTTTGAGGATTTATTGAAATAATAATTTGTAGTGATATGTGAACTGTTCCTTAAGTTATTCAAAGAAATTGATTTGGATTAATACAAGACAATTTGATGTGATTTTCAGTATACATGTAGTTGCCAAACTGAATTTCACTATATTATGCCTCAACAAAGTCTTGACTGTGACTGTGAAACATTTTTCCCATCTGAAACTACTGATGCATCATAAGCTTGGCCTCCTTGTCTCTAACAGAGGATACCAAAATGTATTGGAAAGATTTGAATGAAACTAGCTCGGCCTACCAGTTGGTCATAGGCTTGTTCTTCTTCAACTGTTAAATCTATCACATGTGAAGGTCCAGTAATCAGAACATCATCGTAAGTAATGACAGTTTTTAGAAGTCAATTCACCAAAAGACAATACTGAACATACGATGCTAGTCTGAAAAGATTTATTTCAGAGTCATATTGTTCAAGACGTAATTAACAGTACATCTTTCATACAGCATTTGCAAGCATCATGTACATCAAACACCCAAAATCTTCTTCAAATTGTTGAAGCACTGTCTTAAACAATTAACACAATGCAGATTATTCTTTTCGTGCAGAGTAATACTTGACTTGCAGCATGTTTATACCATTCTGTTGATAATTTCGCCAAAACATGGTCTTCAGGTATTCAGGGAGACAACTCTACTTAGTTATGACGATCACAACACATGTCAACTTGGGCTGGGCTGGGTAACTTGGGTACCTGGTTCCTGTGGGTCCTGAGTAGGACCCAGGTACCCACAGGACTACCCGGAGTCACATGGAGTATTGCTTAATGACTATAATAATCAAACTACATCGTTACACTTCAAGTCGCAAATGTTTGCATTTCATTCTGACTATGTATGCATGCTTTCTGACTTTTATATGTTTGAGAAAAGATAAAACCACTGTCAACTTAAGTGAATGCATGATCACATCGTTTCATACGTGTATCTAACAATCATTTCCAAATCAGACATTTTGTTCACAATTCCTGAAACCTACAAAGGGTAGGGTCGGGTAAAAAGGGGTAAGGTACAAGGTAGTAAATTTGGAATCATCCCAGCCCTCATGTCAACTTCTGTCACCACCTTTTGTCAGTTTTGTCCAGTGTGAAGCACCTTCCCGAGGCAAGGGAGTTAACTGACTATCAAAAAGTCAAGTTTCCACCCTTGCCGAACTATGTGCAATTTCTGGGCTCCATCATAGCGCCACTAGTGGCTATTACGAGACATGTCCCTTCTATGTCCCTCCTATTGGCTCATCAAATTATCACTTGCATTTGCTTCAAACAAAATGGTGGTGCACGGTCCAAAATCTATATTGTAATAAAACGGGTCTTACCTCGTGATATGCATCAAATCATTTGAGCACCATGATCAAAAACATGAAAAGATTTGGAAAAGATCTGTTGACACCCAGTTGATAGTACACATGCTTTGTAAATCTTGCAGTCGATCAAAATCTGCATGTTGAAATCCATGTTGTTTTTTAACTGGATTTCTAGTTTGTTACGCGATTTTGATAGGACTATGCAGAGACTCATTATATGATATAACATATAATCGCCAAAATATAACTCCTTAATTTCATAGTTCGGCAAGGGTGGAAACTGGACTTTTATAGTCAGTTAACCCCCTTAACTCGGGAAGATGAGTGTGAAGATAATTCCACCAAAATTAGACAGTACTTTAACGACAACATTCATTTCCTCACCATGACACAAACTGTTAAATGTTTTCCACACCCTCTTCCAGTTATTGTTTATCCCATTCACAGCACTCTTCGATTTGGTTCTATAAAACCCCTGAATGACTGCTCCCCAAGCACTGACTATCAGCAACAAAACCAACAGTTCTTCTGGTACATGAACAATGCACTACATTCAATCAAATCAAATCAAATCAATAACATCCCATTGCAGTCCTCAACAAAACTGACTGAAGTGATCATATCAGTGCCAAGTAGCAACAGGACTAGATGTATTCACTATGGTGTCTATACATACAGTAGGTAGATATACAAACTACTCAACCTTTTGACAGGGATAATCAGATATGTCTTTCTATTTAAATTTACACTTGACATACAAAGGAAATCAGCTTTGTGTATCTTTGGAAGATAAACATATCCCTATAAAAAAAATGAGGTGGTGAGGTTAAATGGGGTTTAACGTCGCTTCCAAGATTATTGCACTTATATAGCGACGTGCATGTGTGTGGCTGCTTGTACTAGTCCGGACTGATGCCGATTTAGAGTGCTAGCCCACTGAGATACCATGCTGCAGTTTAACATGAATACCCCACTCAGACACATTATAAATCCGAGCGGAGCAGTCCTTGTATAGGCTAATTAATGCCGAGCGCCAGACAGGGTAACATCTTTTAACGTCTTTTGGTATGAACCCCGGACCTTCCGCTCTCTGGGCAGACGCTCTACCCTATCAAAAATGAAGCAGTATAGCATGTTGATGATTTGTCTGTTCATGTCAGGGACAGCCTGTAATAATGAACAGCTTGGTAGCAGGAGCAACAATCCTTCAGAGTATCATGACAATCATCACAATTCGTAACAACCCAATCCTAATCACCAGGGGCAAGACCGGCCCAGTGGTCTCAGCTGATGCAACTCCCTGTACAGAGTTGTGTCCCCTTGTTGCTTGGCCAAGCTTTTCAAACCGATGGGATTCACCTCAGTCATAATCAACATGGCTGCATAATTTCAGGTTGTACTCCCGAACTACAGTGTTGCAGGTATATCAAGCACTAGACCACCCACTATTTTGGTTGGTTGAGTAAAGTTGTTCATCACATGGTTAAATGCTCAATCCTCACTTTGCAAAAGGTCCTCGCGATCAGCTGTGAGGCGTCTCACCTTGACCAGACAAGACAGCAGTCAATCTGATCAGTTACAGTAAATTCTGTTCAAAGTGGAGCTGAACTTTATTTGTTCACTCAGTTAACGTTAAAATTGGCGCAGAGATATGACATACTGAGGGGGTAAAGGACTGAGGAGGTGGATGGAGGGGCAGTCCTGGTGTGTGTGTGTTGTGGTTTGGAGGACTGAGTTCCTGTGGTCTTATGTTTTGGGAAGTGGTCTGGTGGGGTCAGAGAGTTGTGGGTGGCTGGTTCGGTGAGTGAGTGGGTGGGTGGGTAGGTAGGTTGTGTAGGTGAGGACCAGTTAGGTGAGTGAGTAGGTGGGTAGGTTGTCTAGGTGAAGGCTGGTTCGGGTCTGGGATGGTTGGGTGTGTGAGTGAGTTTCTGGGTAGGCAGTCTAGGTGTGTGGGTGGTTGGGTGGGTGAGTGAGTTTCTGGGTAGGTAGTCAAGGTGTGTGGGTGGTCTTGTTTTGTGGGTGAGTTTCTGGGTAGGTAGTCTAGGTGTGTGGGTGGGTAGTCTGGTTTGTCGAGTGAGTGAGTGAGTTTCCGGATAGGTAGTCTAGGTGTGTGGGTGGGTGGTCTGGTTGGGTGTGTAAGTGAGTTTCTGGGTAGGTAGTCTAGGTGTGTGGGTGGGTGGTCTGGTTCAGTGGGTGGTCTGGTTGGGTGTGTGAGTGAGTTTCTGGTTAGGAAGTCTAGATGTTTGACACTGGAGTCAGCACTATCTTCCTGTATCGTGACAGTCGGTGAATGATCAGTGAATGCCTCCATGAACAACTATCAACATACTCTGGGTACACTGTCACACAATCAACCTGATCACAGTAACTCTATCCCAGAAAACCCTGGCTTTTTTGTACCTTGAAAACAATTCTCAAACAAGAACTTACTATCCCAGTCATTACTCATTTGTTGAGTCAGAGGCTCAAATGATCTTTAACTCTTTATGTTTGACAAATATCGATACAACCTGATCAGCCAAGTTACTTGCTTGATAAAGCCTGCTTGTTTGTTGTCTACAACAGCTAATGTGGTACATCCACGCTCCACACATCCACGCTCCACACATCCACGCT